GGTTATTTATTGGGTTAAATATTTATTTTGTATGGGAAGGTTGTAAATCACTGTAGAACCCGGTTGATCGACATCTTAAATATTTATCGCGTCGCATAAGACATTTCTTGATCTCATTTCAATTATGTATCATTTTGATATATTGTATATGCAATATTCAATTAAACAGCTAAATATAATAAAATATTTTATATACAAAAATATTATACAAATACATAATATAAATTAATTATAAATACATAAATAAATGATGTATTATATATTATTTTGTATTTATTAATCATGATTTTATACTAAATATAATATATACAATATTCAATATTAAAACGGCAAGACAAATTCGTTGAAGACAAATTTACAGCAAGTTTCCAGCATCATGAGCAATCACAGATTCACACAATTTTACTTATTGTTAGACACTCATCATCGTTAGACACTATCTGGGAGATTATAACGGATAGCTTTCACTGATTGAATTTAAAATACTGTTATCTTCTTCTCGTTGTACGCCAAAAGATGGGTTTATATATGCATATTTATTTTTTTTAACTTTGTGAGCTTCATTGTATTATAATAACAATAAAACTGACAATACGAAAATAAACATTAATGATTAAAGTATTATATAATATAATAAAGAAACTAAATAATCAAGAAAGCAATTAATAAAGAAAACGAAAATAAATTCAATAAATAAGAAACTTTGCAAACTGGGATATTATTAAAAATATTTGTAATTATTATAATATTATTAATCAATCATTCTATCGAAAGTTGTCCTCGATGGAATCATTCAATAAAATTACAATCATTCAATAAAACTATTTAATATCGGATAACGCTTCCCTGATTTTCAATCACTGCATTTAACATTTGGGGCATAGATTCTACTAAATTTTGAAATATTGCGGGCCTTATGCGGACCCTTCCATTGATTAAAGACGTATTGCGCAAGTGCCTCGCATGTTCTCTGAAGGTCCCACTCTAATATAATATCCCAAATGTTCTCGATTACATTCAGATCTGGAGACTTAGCTAGCCAGTCTAATGTCCTAATGTTAGGTTATGCGGCCAGCTAATCTTGGACAACTCTTGCTCGATGCACTCCTGAGTTGTCTTAAATGAAATGTACATATGGTATGCCAGGAAATGTTTCCGCAATGTATGGTAACATCACATTGGATAATATTTGGATGTATTTCTCGCTATTCGTGTGATACGCATCAATGATTCAGGACTATGCGAGGTCATACATCTCCAAAATCCTAATGTGATATAACAAGATTTTTTACGGAAACGAACATTTCTCTCAGCATACTTTTTTTCTCTTATTCTTCACAACATCATTCTTCCATGCTAAAAAACCTTTTCATTCGAAAAAATCGTTACCATCCACTCATCATTCCATACAAAATGTTTTAAAGCGAAAACCATTCAATGTTCTTTATGACGCGCATTTAACAATTCTTTCTGAGCGGGGATACGGTGAGAATATCCATTTTCTTTAAATCTACAGTGCGCACAGAACATCGTAATCTAATGTCAGCTTTCATCTATAAGGTATCAAAATTGGAATTCATAATTGGAATCATCTTAACACAATTATTGCAAAATTATCATCAGTTTATGACGCCATTATTCTGTAATGTTTTCACAATTTGCCTATCGGGATAATAATTTTTTTTATTAGTATTCTTACTTTTATTGTACTTTGATTGAAAGCTATTTTGTCTGATTGAATTTAAGATGCTGTCATCTTCTTCTCTTATTGTGTATCAATGTGCATCAAGATATGACCCAGGGTTTACGTTGCCTCCTATTTCTTTTTTTCTTAAAATTCTAGACACTGTCATTCTCTACAATAAAATACATATCATTAAAGCAAAGAAAATTTTTCTGGTTAACAGAATCTTTTCGTATCCTGCAGACTCATAAAATATACAAACGTTGAATTAATGTTCCAAAATGTAGATTATATTGTATATGAAGTAACAAATAAATATTTATTTGAAATATAAAAATTGTTTTTTATATAGAACTGTCTTTTCCCTTTATAATTTTTTGCTTTCATATAGTTGAAATAAATAAATAACTTGTTAAAATTAAAAATTACTCATTTAAAATTACCTAAGTTAAACTATTGACTTTTTATTACTCAATTTTTAAAATTTACCTAACCATAATTATTAATATATTATATCTTACATGGATGTTACATAGTCTGGATATTTCAATCGCGCTAAATCCCACATTAAAATAAGCAATTATTTCGACTCTTTTTTCTTGCGAAATAGATCCAGCATTTTTTTATGTCAGAAATGTAATATTAATACAAATTAACATTAAGTATTAGATATTTACTTTATTTTATAGGGCTATGCATCGCATAGCAATAAGAAAACATTGAATAACAGTACTTTAATACACATAGTAATTATGAATTCTTATTTTCCCAGTATATATAAAGATTATACACGAAAAAGAAAACATATATGAAACATGTTTTATATACATATAATTAGCAACAGTCTGTAATTAACTTGCAGAATACGAAAGTCAGGATTTTGTTAAAAAAGAAAAATTTTCTTTGTTTTAATGATATATATTTTATTGTAGAGAATGATAGTGTATAGAATTTTGAGAAAAAAAAATGGAAGGCTATGTAAATCCACGGCCATATCTTGACGCACAACGATGCACAAGAGAAGAAGATGACAGTATTTTAAATTCAATCAGTAAAAGCCATCCGTTATAATTTCCCAGAATCATGAGTCTAATAAATAAGTAAAATTGTATAAATCTGTGATTGCTCATGATGCTGGTAACTTGCTGTAAATTTGTCTTCAACGAATTTGTCTTGCGTTTTAATATTGAATATTGTATATATTAAATATATTTATAAAAAAAACAATGTAATACACAAGAAGGGCAAAGAGCCAGTAATATATAAAAAAACTTTGATTTAAATTAGTATTAAAAATTCATATAAACAATTACAATTAACAACAAACGTTTCGATTCCAATTGAGTCATTTTCAATGTAGTTTTAATATATCAACATCATTCTAAACCAAAAATATGCACATGATATTACAATATTATAATTTTTGATATCATATTTTTCATTCCGTGTAGTACGCTGAGAGTCATTTTTATCAAGAATCAAAGTAGTCATAAAAAAAATTTGGAAAAATAATCGTGAACAAAAAGAATTAATATTAACTACATACAAATTAGTAATATAATAATGTACCTTGTCAGAGATATCAGTAAATGTGTTAAGAGTCTATTAATAAAAAGAGAGAAAAAAGGACAGGTAAATTGTAGTCCATTTCGTGGTACAATAGTTTTTTTATTCTATAAATTATTTTAAGCAAATTTGCAAAAGTAACGAATATCTAACTTTCACAATGTCAGATAACAAAATGTCAAGAAGAAAAACATTTATCAAGAACGGAAAACGGTAAAAAAGGGGGGAAAAGAAGATATTAGGAAGGAGAAAGAGAATGTATTATATAATGTTATTGTAGAATACAATTCAGGCAAAGATTCTGTGTCATTTTCTGTTTATTGTCATTTTGTCATGTTTCTGTTTTTTAATATGGATCATTTCAGATATTAACCTTTTATTGTATGAAGATCTATGTCTAATATGTCCATTTTATTTATTCCATTTAAAATTATGATTCTCCTCAATATGATGATTGGAAATCATGATGATTTTGAACTTATATTAATATCTGAAACATGTTCATGCAATCTGGTCTTTAATTGTCTTTTTATCTGGCCAACGTAACTAACATCACAATCCTCACAAGATATTCTGTACATTTTGATGTAGTTAGATATACTACATTGTTTTATACGTACAGAGCCTTATTACTATTTATTTTATATTTATAATATAAATTATATTTATAATTAATTAATACATAATAATACATAATACATTATTTATTTATGTATTTATAATTAATTTATATTATGTATTTGTATAGTATTTTTGTATATAAAATATTTTATTATATTAGGTGTTGGAATTAATTCGTAGCGTTTTTTAATGAAAGAATGTTATTTATTTCACATGAGCATTAAAAAATACATTAATGAAAGTACTTCCCATCACTTGTAAAACGCTACGAATTAATTCCAACACCTAATATTTAGCTGTATAATTGAATATTGCATATATATCAAAATGATACAGAATCGAAATGAGATCAAGAAATGTCTTATGCGACGCGATAAATACTTAAGATAAATATAAATATACGCGATAAATACTTAAGATGTCGATCAACCCAGTTCTACAATGATTTACAGCCTTCCCACACAAAATAAATATTTAACCCAATAAATAACCCAATAATCCAATTAATCCAATTAATATCTTAAGTGTGTCGCGTCGCACAAGATATTATACATTTCTTGATTTCATCTTGTATACTTCGATTCTGTATCACTTTGATAGCTATCATAACCGCTCGTTACACGTATCGATAGATGGTGAATCGCGCTCTGAAAATATTAGCGTGTTCTGCAAATCATTGAAAAAAAAGTGTCACAACCAAAAGTGTCCGCGACTGTACTTCCCTGCGAAATGTGTCTAAGAAGTTGCAATTAAAATTTGAACCCATTCGGATAAAAATTATTCAAGTTATTTGTCATGCCGGTTTGAAAAACATTGTTTTGAGAAAAACTAGTAACGCCTCTATTTTAGATGCAAAAAATACAAAACAATTTTTTGTGGACTTTAATATATGCACTAACCAGTGCTTTAATTTGATTATATTAAATTATTTTTTAACTAAAAATTTTTTTTAATTTATTGCTGTTTTTATGCCCGCTAGGATGGCCATACACGTTAACTTTTTAGTATATAATATATGATACGCAATATAACTCTTTTATTTTGACTAAGAAACAGTTAACTTACATCTTTTTCTTAAGCAACTGTTATTTATAATAGCAAAATTATTTTGATATAAAACAAAACTTACCTATGGTTCGCAGTATTATTTATTGCATTGCCATCTGCATGAACGAGATATTCTATTATTATAGTAGTATCCATCTCAGGATCATCTCTAGATTGTCGGAAAAGTATCCTACCAACAATGGGATATCTGAATACCACTTCCGCTGTATATAACGGCATTTGCCAATTAGTATGCGGTGTATAAAGTACGAACATGCCACACACCCATGGAACCATGCCTGCGTTATCAGTCTCATTGTACCTAATAAAGAATTATTGTTTTGCGTTAAATATAATAGTATTTTATATATAATATATAATAATTAAACTATGTGTATGCGAATATGGTTTCTTTTTAGAAGAGCAGACTTTTATAAAAAGTTAAGATCACAATAGAAATCTTTCTTTAAAAAATATTCCAACAATAAATACTTATCTATTCTAAATAGTGCATATATTTGCATATTTTAAGCATTTTTAAAGTTTCTTTTATTTTTGTATGAAGATGATTACACAAACTACAATTAAGAATGAGCAATTGTATTTTTAATAAAACATTATTAATGTTTTTTTATTAATGTTTTTTTTATTGTGTGATTTGAAAAATGCTTCTTATATATTGTGATGTGACGTTTTCCATCCGTTACAAGAGTCGGAAGACCCAATCGAACAGTGCAACTCTGGCGTCCTGGATCCTTCCACTTTTTAGAAGGCGGACGTATCTACACATTCTTGTAGCGTTATTTTATTAGGTGTACAAATAAGTTTCCGCCGTTTTTTATCAAAAATTAAGCATTTATTGTGAAAGAACGATACATAATGTTTTATTGATGTAAGTAAAAATGTAAGTGCAAATTCTTTTTGCGTTTGGCACGAATCTTCATTCAATAATGCTTCCAATTCCGCGTCTTCGTACACTTTTGGCCTTCCGCTACGTTCTTTGTCTTCAACATCAAATTCACCGTTCTTAAATTTTTGAAACCATTCACGACAACTTCTCTCACTTAAGGCAGCCTCACTATATGCTTCTATAAGCAATCGATGAGCCTCAGCTGCAGATTTCTTCAAATTAAAGAAATAAATCAAAAGTTCCCGCAAATGACGCTTATTCAGCTCAAAACTCGGCATTTTCGCACAAAAAAATATATGATGCTGATACAAAATCGCTAGTATTTCAAGATTATGTTGTTGACAGATGTCCAACCTTACGATATAATGTTTTACATCAGACAATTTTAACCATAGTTTGCTGGCACAGTCTTTTGTCAAACGGCGGAAATTTATTTGTACACCTAATATCAATTTCGCGTTTGTTTCGTTTTAATTGTGCGTCCCGCAGATTTTCAGTATCGATTTGTCGTTCTTTCAACCGTTATCGTATCGCGAGTTTTGCAGGATAATTAGCAATCTCCTTACAACCTTATGAATTTTGCGTCGTCTCACCGAACCGCAGATGAAGAGAGAAGATGGCCAGGACCGAGAATCGGAAGCGGCGTGACGAAGGACGGATTAGCCGGGGTGCCCAGCATCCTACGAGACGGGCAGCACGCAAGTGATATCGCTCCGTATTTCAATATTTTTGCTTTGGTCCGAAATATGTTTTATCGCCATATATTACAGGCACATAGCGGCGGGACCGCGAGGACAGCAGCCGAGGATGGCCACTCTACGCCCAAATGTCGGCGAGAGACCTCATGACGGAACTTGCGGAGCCCTCTCCTGAAAGGTCGGCATCCAGGAGCGGAGGCATCGACTACGGGAACGCCGACACCGAGATGCGAGTCTCCCGCAAAACCAGGATCCGGGAGAGTCTCCGAGGCAGCCGAAGAAAAATTCTGCGACCCAGTCGAATTCCGCGCGCAGGATACAGGATGCGTGAATAACAGAGCTCGCGCGATTCGCGGAGTTTGCAAGATCTCGCACCAATTAGACACGATAAGGCCCCCTTGTGGTTGATAGTGATCACTGCTTGACCCGGCACTTATGCTGTGGCGAGCGAGCGAGAAGCACTGCCGAGGGACGCAGGACGCCTAGAGAGTCAGGATAGCAAGCCTGAGGCCTGACTAGAAGACTGAGAAGGAGTGAGATGAGAGTCACACAATTCTAAGGTCACCAATTTCCATGTCCAGGAAGCGCGCAAACTATCATTGTCAGGTTTGATATGTGAGACGCACACGGCATTGTCGTGTGTCAAGTTTTTCGCGGTATTTGTGTCTGAGCGTGTCGCCTCCCGCGACGACTCATTATAAGATTTTCAGGAGAGTTACTTTCCGCATCCGCTTAAGTCTTGTTGCATATCGATTTGTCTTGATTAATCGGAACTTCGTATCGTGTTCTTTATCTATTTCGTAAATTGATATTTTGTAAATTGGTTCGAAGCCCCGCGAACGAGCACGAAGCCACGCCGTGTTTGCAAGGATACTGTAACCGTCTCCTATCTCAGTTATCAGAGCGTCGAACTAATGTTCGTGTGATTTGTGAAAAGTGTTTTTGCGCAGCGTGAGCTCGTGCTGTCGAAAGTTAGCGTAATTAATACGCCCCGTGTAGAGCATGTGCGAGGCTAAAGTAACACATTTCGATCGTATACTGTAGTCGTGACCTTGACAATGAGCACGAACGAGAGTCGAGAGAGAGATTACTCAAATATATTTGTTATTGTTATTAACTATTGTGTGGTTTATTGTCGTCGCCCATTTGCTTCTCCACACGATCCTCTATCCTCGACCGTGAACCGCCTCCTCTACCATTTCCGAGGCTGAGCTGCCGGCTTACGAGAGCCATCGACGTTCGCAGTTCTGTAGAAAATCGCGTAAAATAATTTCGATAAAGAGTGACACGCTCACTTGTGCTTAGTGCCCAAGTATCGATTTCGAGACCCTTCCATGACCCTCAGGAGTAACCAGTAAGGATACGTTTTCTGTGACGTTTCCTTTAAAGTCAAACGAATGTCGTTATAAAGACGAGAATTCTACCGAGTCGAGAGAGAATTAGCTGCGAACGAGCGACAAAGTTGCGCTATGCTCGTGAGTGCGGTTGCAGTATGTAGAGTTTTTTTTTATTTGATATTTGATATAATTAGCAGCGATTGCCATTCAAATGTAATTGGTATTTGTAAGAATTAGAATATGAGAGATTTATTAACATAATAGAATTTATATTATTTACAACAAATTATGTAAATATTTGTCTTATAGAGCAGGGATCGGCAACATGCTGAAATTGGGCACGGGCGCCCGCGAGCGTCCGCGAATGCTCGACTATTGTATATGTCTATGGTCAACTTCATTCACAACTCACTTATTTCGCAAATAATATCAAATTGTAATCGTCAATCAAATACTTACTAATTATATTAAATGTTATTATTGTTATAAGTAAGAAACGTTTATTCGAAACATAAATTGTTATTATTTTATATTAATTCTGAGTTATCTAAATTTGTATAAAGGATATTTTTTAATATTTCTCATGAACGGTATCTGAAATTCTTTTGCATTAGGAGGAAGTCCTGTAATAACCTAAGCTTCTAATACCGATCAAAGCTAATTTTCACTCATCCCGTTAGATGATATCGCTATACGTGCATGAGGGAATGCGTCCTATTGTTTTACATATCACAATCCGCGGTTATGAGTATTATTATGTTATGTCCGGTGGACTCTACGATTTCTTCGTCTCGCGTTCAATAAATTAAGGAACAAATAACCGACAACATGAATCCGAGGGAAATTTCCAGCCGAAAAACTGTTTATTTAGAATCAAGCGATCCGCGATAAAGAAATCTTTTATAGCATCAAAACATTGGAAATCAAACGTTAAATCTCCTTTCGAGCATCGTGGAAAAGAAGATCGTCAAATAAACTTTAACACACCGCGTCAGTACCAAGATGCTAAGCTGGGCCGATTCCTAAAATGATTCTCGCGATAATAAGGGTGCGCTGACACAGCGCAGACACTCGAAAGAAGATGAAATGTTTAATCACCTCACGCTGATATCACGCAAGTGGTCCCATGCGTAGATTTAAGACAGGTTCATAAAATTTAATGATCTTCCAATATTGAAAAAAATCAACACAAACTGCGATTCACGCTTATTAAGAGATAAAACGTAAATGATTTTTCCCAGTTATAACAATGATAAGAAAAGAAACCGATAACTCACAACACATTCTCCTCCCGTTATGAAAACCACCAATAAGAATAAAAGAAAATCGAAACTTACGGGGTGGGCGGAGGCCAACTTAAGGGCAACTTTCCAATGATAGTTAAAATTATTATCGTGTCAAATAGTAAGAAAAATCCTATGAAGCTGATTCCTCGATTTCCAACCAAACACACTCTATCAAAGAACTACCTTCAAAAAACTGCCTATATAAACCGCGACATGGCGAGACAAGACGTAGAAAAAAAAATTAGTTCTATATATAATAGTTGTACAGTTCTGTGTAGTTACACTTTTCAAAGTTATAACATCAGTTCAAATTCTGAAACGATCATTCCACCGCTGCCAAAGACTTTTCGCTCCAACTGACCAGAGACATCACCAGATCGTTGAGGCCTCCAAGCATCAGGAAACTTCGAAAGAACACTTCCAGGAAAGAGTAAGTAGTGAGTGATCGGCCATGTACACGCCTTTCCCGCGCGGCCTAAACGCCTACGAACTCAACGCCTCAGGGAGACCCGTAGCTTAAGTAGTAATAATAATGATAGCAATAATATTAATGCTAATGGTTTAGATAACGATAATCTCAAGCACTTCGCACTGTAAAAAATTTTTATGTTAAATTACAACTATTATAGTGAGTAATTTTGAGACCCACTATAATAATTGAAAACGTCCACGCGTTTGTAAATTTACAATATTTAATATATATTATTAAATAAAAATAATTTCTTGGTTTGTAACTAAGCAGATTGTGGAAGTACAATGTTATAATGTGTATATGTAATTATAGGAACGATAATGTGACAATATATTTCGCACTATATATTATTATACATTTAACAGCAATACACGAAAAATTACTGTTATATTACTAAAATTAATGTAATATTACTAAAATTTGGATACAAAAAATATTCAAAATATCTTGCTATTTACGTAATTTTCTATAGAAAATAAGATATATTTACACAATAGAAGCAAATTTATATAATTTTTTTAGAATTACATAATTTCTCTAAAATTGCGTAACTTTTTAGGGAAGGTTCCGATTGCACATATCGCATGTTACACACATGCATCGTGATAATTGGTCAATT